CCACACACTTACTAAAGAGTAAGCCTCTTTCTACAAAATGGAATTCATTTATAACTGAACATTCATTGGATTGTGCTGTTAGAACCATTACAGAAATAACCAGTATACAATTCAGAGTGTGTTTTTATACATAGAAAGGTTATTAAAAGCACTACAAAACCACCATTAAAATGACTAGCTTCTCCACAAAATTTCTTAACAACTACATAGGCCTGTTGGCAAAATATATATACAGTATCTAATAATAATAATAAGTTTTATTTATATCACGCCCTCCCCAGCCGAAGCCGGGCTCAGGGCGGCTAACAACAATAAAACAGTACAACAGTACTGTATGTCTTTAAGAGTCACCTAAAATGTGAAAAGCAAAGATCACTTCCGATTCCCTGATGAAAACATGTTCCACAGCATGAAACGAAGCACCCAACTTCTGGTTGAGGCCGGTCAGTCCTCTGAAACACGGGGGACAACTAACTTGTTGCCTCTGTAACATGGCCTCTATAACACGAGGGACAACTTGTTGCAGCTAAGTTGTAAATACTTTTAAAAGAAATAGCTACACTAAAGCATAAATGCATTTGTTACATGCATTATGTCATTTGTACTAGCCAGAAGAAGTGTTTCCCACTATTATGTAATGCATAAAAATTAAAGCTGGCATTGAGCGGAAAATAACCACAACTGAACAGCTCCCATTCTTCATTCAGAAGCTTGTTCTATATTAAGCAGCACTGGTCCACTGCAGGATATGCCAGCTAATCCCAAATTATCTGCTAGCATTCCCCTGAAATGAGGCCTTTCAAAGAAATTCTGTTGCATAATGCAAGTACAAAGTCTGTTGCACCTGTATCCTTGTACATCTTTTTTGTATATAGAAAAACATGGACTGAAAGAAGGGTTTTATAACTTGGAAAGCTGATGCAAAATCAAGTAACTTTGGGTTTCCTTTAATTTAAGAGAGACAGCATTCATCTTTCAAGTAAAGACGTACTGAAGTAAATACAGTACATAGTATAGTCACACTCCTTCTGAGTGATCCTTTCATAGTTTGAATGTAAAACATGCATCCAAGCACCTATTGCTGTTCAGTCACCAGGTGACCAGTAGCCCAGTATGGCCATCTTTAAGGGCATTGGGGCACTTACTGTGGGAGGCCTTTTCTGCAATTCACCCAGAAGAAGCTGCTGATTTGGACATTGGTCCATCTAGTCTTGTCTACACCAACTGGGACTGAACCTGGGACCGTCTGCATGCAAATCAAGTGCTTTACCACTACAGCCCATCCACCTCAACCATCCAATTCTCTGTTTCCACAGAATATTTATGATGTCCCCTCTTCTCCCCTTCCACTTCTTATGTCCCTGCCACATCTGCTTCAAAGTCGTTCTAATCTTTGGCTCATTAATATAACATGTTCTGCTTTGTTCTAATACAGGCTCCCTCAACCTCAGCCCTCCAGGTGTTTTGAGACTACAATTCCCATCATCCCTGACCACTGGTCCTGCTAGCTAGGGATCATGGGAGTTGTAGGCCAAAAACATCTGGAGGGCCGAGGTTGAGGAAGCCTGGTCTAATATATGCTAGAGCCCTAGCTCAACAAAACACTTGGCTCCAATGATGACTTAGTTTAACCATTAGTTAGACAAATCATGTGCCATCTTACAGACTAGCAAACAAGCTGTGGCTTGTTTCTCCAAAGCTTGGCTTGTTTTTCAGCTGCTTTTGCCTTGTGCTCTTGTCCCATAGAATGGAGTGGTCAAACAAAGAATGGTTAAGCAAGGTTGTTGGGTTCAAACAGAACACCAAGTTCTAGTTACACTTAGTATCAGCCATGGTTTGTAAACCAACAAGAAATTCATGGCTTCATTGTTTGGTGGGAGGAAACCAACTATGGTTAGTAAGCTAGGCTGGGTTTGCACATTCAAACTAATAATAGTTTGTGATCTTTGCATAAAGGGTGGTATAGAATTTTAATAAATAATAATAAGTTAAGTTGAACAAAGCATGCCTTAGTTTTGTGTGAACAGTCCTCTTGTTATACTCTCACCTGATAATTAGTAGCTTTCGTTGACACTCTATTCTCATTATAATACATTATAATGCTGGCCTATACTTCCATTTGGCATTCAGAGTGTATGTTAAAAATACTATTTTTTTTTAATACAGAATGAAATAACATCTTGCTCTACAAAAGTGAGACTCTGGGAAGTGGGTATGAAAGTATGGTTTTATTCTCCGATGGACATTTTTAGATTGGCCAGGACAAACTTAAAAGCACTCCACTTTAAACTACGTTGAAAGCTATCTCATACTTTGAGGCGTTCAATATATCCATTTGGATAATACATCTAGTCAGTATATGAGCAGAAGGGATTCGTGCCATAAGACTCTGAGAATTTTAAAGAAGGCAGAAAGGAAGAAAATATAGGCCAAATATAATATTTCCCCCAGTTAAGTGTAAAAATATTGCTTCTGACTCTTCGGAATAAAGTTGGTCATCACACTTCTGTAGAATGTTGTTTGCAGAATACAGGGCATCGTTTTAACTTCTTAGCAAAGGTAGAGGTTAGAGTTTCACCTTTTTCTCTCCACTGTTTAAATAGCTTGCTTTTTCAATTGGTCATGTATTTGTTTTTCCTCTGAAAAAATTGGCAACTACATGGTACTGTTTATGCTGGCAGTAAACAAATAGCTATAATTCTTTCACATTGTCAAAAGCAATGGTTTTTTGAGTTAAACAGTTAATACAAACTTGAGTTTCAAAATATTATCTTATGTATTGAATGGGTTTCGGTTTCCAAACTCAAGACCTGCTTTTTGGTTCTACGACTTAATACCATCTCTGCAAATAACTTCATCTGAGGATGCAGTGGAATTTTAATTTGCAAGTCTTATGTTTCATAATATTGAGGTTTGGTTGTCTCTCAATAGTGCTGTTGTTTAGCTGAAGAGGATGCAACACACCTTACCAAAGTCATTTCCCATTAGCCAAGTTACAGTGTTATTTAATCCACACAAAGTTTATCATATATGACCGGCCCATTTAAGTTCGTATCATCTTAATTGTCCATGAAGGTACTGATACTGTGTCTTCACATCTTTGTTGGCAAGTGGTTTTTTAAGAGCATCGTGAATCTCTGGAGGGGTAGATGAGCACCATTCCCTCCCTACCCTCACAGCCCAAGGATGTACAGCAGCAGAATGTTTTGGGGTAAGATCAGGGGAGGGCAATGTGCTCTGCTTCCTCCTGAAACCCCCCTAGGTCCAGGCAGATGCTAGGACTGATACACGTACACCCCTCCCCTTTAAATAGATATAAGGAAGTGTCAGGACTTATCCAGAAGGAAATTTTCCCATTCCCTCCTCCATCACAATTTTATTGATTGGGCATAGGTTTTCAGATTGGTATTAAAGATGTGTCTATGCCTTCATTACATCCTTACTTTATATAAGGTATAAAGTGCAATTAATTCCCAAGCCAGTATCCATGGGGCAAACAATATATTATACATAGGATGGGTATAACAAAGAACGGATGGTTTCGTTTTCTAAGGCGGAGGGGGGAAAACAGCCTGGGGAGGCCACAGTGCTGAACAGAAAATCATGCTTGTCCATTGACTATTGTCCAAATCAAAATCACATTCCCACTGTAGTGGGAAAAGATGCATGTACACTTACTTTTAAGAGCCTGTTATGACTAAACAAGCTTTGGTAGTACATGGAAAAAATTGGAAAATAGGCTATAAAGATATTTCAGAGTAGTGTTTCTGTTTTATTTTAAGTGATATACAATTGTAAGATGATTTCTTTCCTTGCTTCCGTTAAGTGTCCTTAGCAATTTAAACATTGGTGCAATGAAATAGATTAGTTCTGAGTTTTGTTTTCCAGGATAAATGATTAGGATCTTCTCCATCAAGTATTGGCAGGTTTCGAAAAGCATACAGAAAAAAATACATTAAACTACTTTGGGAGGAAAATGCAGAGAGACAGGAATCATTTATCTAATGCTTTTTGTTTGCTGTATGATTATGTTTATTTGTTTCATAAAATTCTCAAACAGCTTGATTGCAGAAAACCTCATAGTGGTTTACAAAAAGATAAAGCAATAAAATTATCACTTAGAAGGATTAACAATAAAATTTAAGTCATTTGAAAAGTTGAAATAACAGCAGTAGACTGAAAGCAGATCAGAACTCACATCAACTTTCTTAAGCATTTGGATAGGCTTGTCTAAACAAAAATGTTTTTAGCAGGCATTGAAAAATGTACAGTGAAAGCTGCCTGTCTAGTATCAATAGGCAAGGAGTGTAAGCGACGCCACACTAAAATATCAAACTCTGACTGAAATCACCTACAGGCAATTCCCCACTCCTGTGTGTTCGAGGTTCACATGGCCGTGCACAAGCGTGCCGTTTTTGACACCGAAAGGTGATGGGGCGGGGCAGGGCAAGAATGGGGTGGGGTGGAACAGGGGGATCTCCATTTGCATGCATCCTGGTGATGTGTGCAGCAGCCGGGAACAGAACCCCCACATAAGTGGTGATTCTCCTGTACTTATTGTAGAGATTGAATCCTAGTGCCATTTTGAACTGTCTTAGAGGTAAAACTGTAAATGCCCTGCATATTTGTGTTAGCTCAACACTTGGTACAAATTATTATGAATTGTGTTACAGTTACTAAGTTTGCAGTTTTGAAGTTCCAAATGTGAAGGAAGCTTTTAATGTTTGATGCATTATAGTATTTTAATATTGTGTTGGAAGCTGCCCAGAGTGGCTAGGGAAGCCCAGCCAGATGGGCGGGGTATTTTATTTTATATTATTATTATTATTATTATTATTATTATTATTATTATTATTTCTATATTCTATAGTGCAATAGGTTGGGTCACATGATTGGGGTTTTCAAAGCCATTGCAGCTGCCCTTCAGAGTGACCCATGGATGACAGCTCACACTTTGTGGGAATTATTCGAACATTGACATTGTCTTTCTTCCTATCCAGTCAAATTGCTGCTTCAGGCAGAAGAGAGAGGAGTCGTGTCAATCAAAGGTGTGTGTGCAAACCGTTTCCTTTCTATGAATGAAGATGGCCGGTTGTTAGCACTGGTAAGCAAATGCTATTCTTTCTCTCTCTCTCTCATATTAGGGTGGAGTTAGATGCCATGGAATGCCTTTATTGCTTTTTAAAGATTCTCAGAATTTGGTGCAGTTACAGGAGAACACAGTTCCACCTCTAGGCATTAATTAATACCTTTCTTGGACTTTCACTGTCGTAAAGTGGAACCTCAACTTTCGAACATAATCCGTTCCAGAAGACCATTCGGCTTCTGAAATGTTTGAAAACTGAGGATCAATGGGCTGCAAAGTGAATGGGGGAGAAATGAAAAGCACGCCTTAGAAGCCGTTGGACTTTGAGGAATGTTCAAAAAATGGAGCACTTACTTCCGGGTTTTTGGCATTCGGAAGCCAAAACGTTCGAGAACGGAGGTGTTTGAGTTCCGAAGTTTGACTTTACTTCCATTTTTGGGCTACCTTGGATGGCCGGGGTTAAGCAATATTTTCTTTAAGTATATTTTAGCATTTACATTACCATTAGAGTGGGTTAGTAATGGAAGTCAGTAAATAAAAATATGGCAGTAAATACACTGGCGGAATCCAGAGATAATTGTGCTTAAGTCAAATCGAAATCAGTTATGTGCATTTTCCAGGATCTTTTGTATTAGAAATTTTTCAGTTTGCATCAAAAAATTTCTGGTGCCCTTGAGGATAATCTGATTTAGCATGCTTATTTTCCTTGTTTTGAGTAAACAAAGTTAAAAACTTCGAAACTGCAAAGCTTGCCTAATAATGTATTTGCATGCCTTCATTATTATTAATGAATTTATTGACACTTTCTGTGGAAAAAATAAAGCCCTGGAAATTTTTTCCACCCCACATCCTTGATTGAAATGGGCAAATTGTAGTTTGTGCCCAATTAATTTCAATGGGACTGACAGCACAACAGTATACTTGTCTGCTCAGAAGTATTTCCCATTATCTTTGCATGTAATACTAATCCAGGATATGCACAAGGTGTGTGCATTTGCGGACAACCCTATTCAAACCAGGATTCAACACTTACTATAGTTTCCTGTTACATACAAACCAGAAATAAATAATAATAATAATAATAATAATAATAATAATAATAATAATAATAAATTATTTGTAACCCGCCCATCTGGCTGGGCTTCCCCAGCCACTCTGGGCGGCTTCCATAGAAACCAAAGATACAGTAAAATATCACAGATTAAAAACTTCCCTGAACAGGGCTGCCTTCAGATGTCTTCTGAATGTCAGGTAGTTATTTATCGCTTTGACATCTGATGGGAGGGCGTTCCACAGGGCGGGCGCCACTACCGAGATGGCCCTCTGCCTGGTTCCCTGTAGCTTTGCTTTTCGCAATGAGGGAACCGCCAGAAGGCTCTCGGCCCTGGACCTCAGCGTCCGGGCAGAACGATGGGGGTGGAGACGCTCCTTCAGGTATACTGGGCCGAGGCCGTTTAGGGCTTTAAAGGTCAACACCAGCACTTTGAATTGTGCTCAGAAACATACTGGGAGCCAATGTAGGTCTTTCAAGACCGGTGTTATGTGGTCTCGGCGGCCGCCCCCAGTCACCAGTCTAGCTGCCGCATTCTGGATTAGTTGTAGTTTCCGAGTCACCTTCAAAGGTAGCCCCACGTAGAGCGCATTGCAGTAGTCCAAGTGGGAGATAACTAGAGCATGCACCACTCTGGCGAGACAGTCCGCGGGCAGGTAGGGTCTCAGCCTGCGTACCAGGTGGAGTTGGTAAACAGCTGCCCTGGATACAGAATTGACCTGCGCCTCCATGGACAGTACTGTTAACGGCTTCAAAACAAGCCAGGATATTAAGCCAGTTTAAACCATGGCTTCGTATCCTGGTCTGTTTTGAAGCTTCAGGTTTGCATATTATGGAGTGCTGAATCCTGGCTTGTTTAGTTGCTTGTGTGAAGAAACTAGAGGAGGGCTTCCTATAAGAGCACACAGTGTGTATCTGTGAACCATCCTAAGATCTACGGATGAAGGGCAGTAAACAAAATTTAATTAAATAAATATCCTGTCTTACTGAACTAGGATTTTTGGTTTAGCATTCCATGTAAATGCAGCTACTGATTTCAGTGGAATTTACACCTAAGGATGTGTGTGTAAGTCTGCAGACTCACTTACCTTATCTCTATTAAGGGTGGACGCTTAATGTGTATAAAAACTAAATATTTTCCATTCCTTATTACATAAGGCAGTGTTGACCTTTGATCAGGAAATTAGACAGCTAGTTTACAAAAGGCTGTTGTGTTGAATCTTTTTGTAAACTACCTCTCTAATTTGGAAGTAGTATTTGGAAGTTTTCATTTACGTGGGTGTGGAAGCGTGTTACCTATGGGAGCTTCAAAGATAAAGTAAAATAGTGTTCTGATTGCATATGCGTATTATCCTTTTTGCTAAATGGGTGTGAATACTTCTGATTAGACTATTTCGTGACGGTAGCAGACTATGAATAATGTTTTCTTCCTTCATTTTCAGAAATACATAACAGATGAATGCTTCTTTTTTGAACGCTTGGAATCTAATAACTACAATACATATCGATCTCGTAAACATAGTGATTGGTATGTCGCACTGAAACGAACTGGGCAGTACAAACTCGGACCAAAAACTGGACGAGGACAGAAAGCTATCCTTTTCCTTCCGATGTCTGCCAAGAGTTGATTTTAGTGGCAGAGTCTATAAAATATACTACAGCAGTGGTAAACTTCCGCTTTGCCACAAGACAGAAAAATGTGACCAAATATTTGCCAGGACTTGCAGATTGATTGTAGAACTGTGTATGTTTTAAGCCTTCTAACTCTTTTAATTCCTGGAACCATATATGTGTGTATGTGAATGTGTCAGGCTCGAACACCGATGCACCAACTGAATATTACGCTTGTTTCCAACTTAATGGTTTGGGGGTAGAGTTAAAAATATATATTATTTGGGCCATTCAAGATGAAAGGGGATTAAAAATGTGCATAGCTAGAGAAACATTAGCATTTCAAATGAAATAATATATATTATCCTTTTAGAAGGTAGAAAAGGGAATTTAATTTGGAACAGAATATATGTATATTTTAGTACAAGGGATTTTTTTTTCTAAGCCAAAAAACAACACTAAATGTATTGCTAACCTGTCATGTTTCTATAATTCTCTGGCAGCTCTCTGTGGTACAGCTTATAGAAAAGGCCTGTATACACGGATGGAAATTCTCTCATGGTTAAATCAATTTTATCAAACCCTTCCCTATACCCATAAAGAAGCAATCTAGCAATACTGCTGGTGATTGGAGTAGTGTCTGATGTCTTGGCAAGCTCAGCTAGGTCCATCCACTCACACCTCAGGCACTCCTGTTGGCATAAACTGATTTTGAAAGAGGAAGGCTCCATTCGGCAGATGATGTACATATCAGACTTGCCAAAGGCTCCCGGGTGTCTGTGTTGCTGCCGTATGCTTAGGAGGGACTTGAATTCTGACTTAATGCCAGTCTCCTCGAAAACTTCTCGAACTGCTGTGTTCCCTAAGGAGGAGGAAAAGAAAGAGTTCCTTTTTTAAAAAGCGTTAACTGTAATTCTCTCCTCCATCTTCTCTCTTGCTTTGCCATTAGATTTTCAGTTGTGGTAAACATGCATTCAACAGCACCACCCCTCCCTCTGTTAGACTGAATGAAAAATATATCCCCCCCCCAAAGAAAAACCCATCTCCACAAAATACTTTGGTTGTAGATACTATAAAAGCACAATTGCAGGTGTTTTAATTTGAAATGCAATGTATATGAAACCACCTTACACCAAACAAAGCAATTGCTGTCAAAGTTTTCTGTGCTTTTTAAAAACTGAGCTACCGCATTTATGATTAATCCTAGGTACGACCTGAATCATAAAACTGTAGAGTTGGAAGGGACCACCAGGAACATCCTAGTCCAGCCCCCTGCAATGCAGGAATAGTTTGCCCAGCATGAGGCTCAAACCCACGACCCTGAGGGTTAAGAGACCCATGCCCTATCGACTGAGCTATCCCAGAGCTTCAAAACACAACCTTGGCCTTGAATATAGGCAGCATTAATAAATTTCTTAATTTCTGATATGTAAAACTTACATTTTGGAAATGTGTTTGTGGCTCTAAAAATAATTTTAAAAAGCCCAGTCCAGCAAATGCATAATTAGGAATTATGAAATTAGGTATATGTCTTATGTGTAATTATTAATCACTCTGTGGTTTTAATCATGGGTGATATACAGTATCAATGTCCATAAGTAAACTAAAATAAATGGGTTATACAGTGGCACTTAAAATTATTAGCACATGTGGAAGACAGAGCCACTCCTTCCAAGTAGTAAGTAGCCTGTTATTGCAAGAGTTCATTGTGGATTTAAGAGTGATCTAGCAATGGCATTACTGACATTAAAATCGTACCTTGGGTCCCGGACGCCTTGGGACTCCAACATTTTGGCTCCCGAATGCCACAAACCCTGGGCGTGGGTGTTCCGGTTTGTGAACGTTCTTTGGAACCTGAACGTCCAACGCGGCTTCAGCAGCTTCCGATTGGCTGCAGGAAGCTCCTGCAGCCAATCAGAAGCCGCACCTTGGTTGTCAAACATTTTTGGAAGTCGAAAGGACTTCCGGAACAGATTCCATTTGACAACCAAGGTATAAGATAGTTTATGGCCCTAGAGTTATGTCTCCCATTCAAATGTTCAAGTGGGCTCCCCATTTGTTCTGAGTTTGTTCCCTGTTCTGAGTTTCCTTCATTTGAGGCCAAGGAAGTTGGCAGATATTAAAATGTAAGATTCTAAATTAATTCCCCTAGCCTGCTTAATTCCCTCTAAAAGATTGGTGCTCATGACACTCTTCCCTTCCTACGTATGCTGTTTCCCCTCTCTTTCAAGTCTGGAGATATCTAAGGTTATTTTAAAATAATGACATTATAACGTTCATATCATTTAACAAAATTTGCAACAGTCTGCCTTGAACATCATCCGATACAAAGGCACCACAAACCTTGAGAAACAACATAGTAAATTTTAAATAGGAGTAAATTTTAAATAGGATTTACTCCTGCACATAATCCATGCCATATAGCAAAATGTGAGTACATGCTGATTGTCGATGCGTTAGCAAAATGTTGGCTGACTGCTTTGCTGTGCTACCAAATTGCTATTCTGTCTTTAGTATGTTGATTCATACCATTGTTTTCCACCTTGCAGATGAAGTATATTTTGTGAAATTAACACATCTATTCAGAAATAGGTCCTGTTGAGTTCAGTGGAACTTATTCCCAGGTAAGGGTGTAGCCTAGGTTGGTAGGCTACAAAGTATGTTCACTTAACCAAAAAAGCAGTTTCACTGAAATCAACATATGCTTCCAGTGTGATGAAATACTAAGTTAAGTATGTCATGACTAGATTAGTAAATTAAGACAGTTTTCACTGAGTTATTCTTTTAGATGTAAAATCATGCCATGCCTTGTGTATATAAATTAAGAAAAATTACTTATTAGGAATAAGGATGCAAACAATTTTGATGTGCTATAGGATTTGTCATTTTACCTACTTACAGCCAGAAGTTCCCATTTGCCTTCAACAGGTTTCAAAGAAATTGCAGGCCTGACGACTTGGGAGGTGAGGAAGGACCAACCTTATGTAATTACCGAAATAGCCAAGTACTTACCAATATCTTCACCGGGTTCAGACAATCCTCCTGGAAATTTCCATGCATTTCTTGTCTTAACAGGGGAATAAAAACAACCATATGGGTAATCTGTTTCCTTCGATAAGACACCAGAAATAAATTGCTGCCTCTCTTGACTGGTCCTTTCTTTTGTTTTTGCAAATGTGATCACCAAAATACAATTAGGTGTCTACGTGTTTTGCAATATAATAGGCATATAGTAGATGTCTATTATATTGCAAGAAAACATACACTGATTTGTCTGATGACTGTTAGATGGTTTATACTTGCAACATTGCTGCTCATTAACAGTTTTTAAAAGCTGCTATAGGTAATTATATTCTATAGCCACAATCCAATGCTGAGTTAGGCAAGTTTAAGCCTATGACCTTAAGTGTACCTAACTCTCTGTTGGACTGGAGCCTATGTAATCTAATATTTAATCATGTATACTCTACTTCAATGTTTGCAAACACCAGTACATTTTCTAAACAGTGATTGATTGTAGTACTGTTCTATACTGCACTGGCTATGAATTTTTCTTTTGTGTCTGTAATAACCAATGCGTACCACATCATTTTTGGTTATGAAGCTGAAAAATAAAGCTGAAGTTCTTGTGTGCCATCTGATGAATCATGTGCTTGTGTAATTTTTAAAGACCAAAATGGATAAAGGTTTTTTACCAGCATGGTGTGATACCTACTGCTAATGACATTCGTTTCAAAGAAGTACAGGTATGTTGAATGCATTGTTTTGAGTTGCACCCCAGGAGTAATGCATTACATATTTCTGATTATCTTTCTTTTTGTTAGACCAGCTTCAGATTAATATGTGGTTATGGGGAGGGGGGAGGGACTGAGTGTTTCCTAAAGCAGTAGTATCCTTCCAACTCACTTGGTCAGTGCACAGTAAGAGAAGGAAAACTTTCTGTAGTCAAAAAAATAAAAATAAAAATAAAAATTGTCCACTAGCACCTTATAGACCGACTAAGTTTGTTCTGGTATGTACATTTTCATTTTTGCTTCCAAGGTCGAATGAACAAAAATGAGAATGTATATACCAGAACAAACTTAGTTGGTCTATAACACTGATGGCCAAACTTGGCCCTCCAGCTGTTTTTGGACTACAACTCCCATCATCCCTAGCTAATGGGACTAGTGGTCAGGGATGATGGGAATTGTAGTCCCAAAACAGCTGGAGGGCCAAGTTTGGCCATCACTGGTCTATAAAGTGCTACTAGACAATTTTGTATTTATTTTACTTTTATTTCGACTGCGTCAGACCAACATGGCTACCTACCTGAATCTAGAACTTCTGTAGTCAATTAGTTGGATCCAGTTTGTTGCACACAGCCCACACTGAAACCAACCATTGTATAGTTGTGAATGACATGTCCAATTGATTTCAATGGGATCTAAGTGCAGCTAATTTCTAGTGTTTTGTATGCTCTCTCCCTGTCATGGTGAAGGCTCCTGCCACGAAGTATGAGCAAGGGTTGGGGAGAGAGGAGCATGTTCAGTTATTTCACTGACAATGTGCATGGGGAGAGGTTTCTGCACCACCCTGCCCCAGCTCATTTTGTTCTATTGCAGCAGTACCGCGACTGACAGGGAACCTCCAGTTTGCAGGCCAAGCACAGGCTTTCAGACCTCTCTATCTGCCTCTCAGGACTCTCTCCAGACCATGAAGAGCCCATCAGCTCTGCTGTGCATTCACTTGACTGGAATGTATCCTTGAACCATCATCATGCCTCTTGCCCAGATAAGAGACAGGAGTCTGGCTTTTGCATGGGTAGAATGTAGCCTATTGGATAAAAATAGGAGTTGCATCCCTTTCTTTTGCCTCTGCCCCCAACTACATATGACCCCTGAAAGGTCCTGAAGGACACCGGTCCTGAAAGACCTACATTGGCTCCCAGTACGTTTCCAAGCACAATTCAAAGTGTTGGTGCTGACCTTTAAAGCCCTAAACGGCCTTGGCCCAGTATACCTGAAGGAGCGTCTCTGCCGCCATTGTTCAGCTGAGGTCCAGCTCTGAGGGCCTTCTGGCGGTTCTCTCACTGCGAGAAGTAAGGTTACAGGGAACGAGGCAGAGGGCCTTCTCGGTAGTGGCGCCTGCCCTGTGGAACGCCCTCCCATCAGATGTCAAAGAAATAAACTATCATCTTATGTTTAGAAGACATCTGAAGGCAGCTCTGTTTAGGGAAGTTTTTAATGTTTGATCCTTTATCGTGTTTTTA